TCCGCCATGCTGGTAAGCGTAAAACTGGGTGAAGGTACTTAAGATTTGTCGAATGGTTATTGCTCCATTAATGAATTTCTTGATAAATTTCAAAAATCAGATAGTAAACGTGCTTTCGCTTTAGGTACCGATAGTGGTGATGGCTTACGGGGAACGTTACTCAATTCTCCGTCAATTGGAACAGATGAAACCTACCGTGATTATTCTCTACAACACGGATATCACCACATTGAGGCATATTGAGGTATACCTCTAGTGATGTTTATTATTTATTGGGAATTGCTATAGACAAAGTTGCTGACCTCTAGAAGGCCTGTGATTGGTTCCAGCAAACAATGCACCAATCACAGGCCTTTAATTCAACATTGAATCTAATAATTCTTGTACGAATGCATATAGAATGGAGCACGCTCACAGAATAAACACACAATGATCATCAAGCCACATTAGTGGCGGATAAATTATTAAAGAATCAGAGCTCTATAAGTCACAGCAACATCAGAGCTATCAAATTTTAAAGAGAAGGGGAGAGGGAGGCGCTAGAATTGAGCTGATGTCGACTATGTACTATAGGTTCGCCTTTTTTAGCGTCAGATTGATCTGTTTCGTCATTTCAGATCTACAAAGCATGTCACTCCGAGCTGTTCCTCCAGATTTTCTCACTCATGTACAGGGAGTCGACTGAAGAGTCACGCTATCTGACGGCGCTCAAGAATGAGACGGATGCGTTCGAATCACTATTCAAGGAAAAAGCGGTAAGTACCTAGCAATGTCTGCTTGGAAGCTTTCAACAGAATGCTTTATAAGTGTTATAACGGTGATTTTTGAGAGATCCTATTTATACTCGAGTCTCGAGCCTTCGATGTTAATTGGTTCCGTTCGGGTATGCGCTCCGCATTCCACTTCTGGCCCCAATCGTAGTAATGTATTTGACCCATATAATAAACTGTGTTGGCCAGCCGGTGTACAAGTCAGTACTTTTCCTCTACCAGACGATGCTGGTACTAATTGACTAAACTCTAAGACCGAAAAACTTCCATGGCCTTGGGTAGTTTCAATCAGGGATCTGATCCCTGGACCATGCGTGTGGTAGTACGACACTTACCACTACGTCATCTCTGTTTTTTATTACAAGTTATTTGCAAGAACAAAACTGATGGCTAATGGTTTTACTACATTCAGACTCTACTTATTCCTCGACGATACGAGACTGAACGTGAAGAAGTGCCTCGTTTAGAACTTTCAACCCGTGATGGTGGAGGGCAAATGCCAGATCCCGATGAAAGGCCTAAGGTACTTTGATTAGCTCGGGCGCTAATTCGTTATCACCTTTACATAGTGACTCGATTATTTAAAGAAGTTCATATTGTGCTGTCACAAGTAAAGCTGTGAAAGCCATTTGAGACCTGGGACTTCCCCTTTTCGAGATTTTTGAGGTTTTTATGAAGATTTAATATCCCTTTACCAAAGCCCAACTTCACAAAAACGTAAATTACTGCTGTGAACGATATCCTCGATAAGGTTGGTTTTAAGGTCTATTTTTCAGGTTATTGTCGATATGCGTGAATTTAACAGCGAACTACCGACAGTGTTGTACAAAAAAGGATACGATGTAGTTGCTGTTACTTTGGAGGCGAGTTTTTGCTCACCCATAGCACACTGAAGTCGTTTTGACACCTGAATGGGTTCCTTTGGGCGAAATAAAAATAAAAGAATAAAATGAAAATGAAAGAATAAAATAGTAGTTAGAATCATAAAATGGAAGGCAAACGTAATGGGAGAGAAATCGAAGAGCGCAATGCTTCAGTGATTCAATGCCGTGGGGAGCCTGAATACTAAGTTTTTTCGATGATTTATCGCGGCTGAAAAGGGGAAATGACAAATGGAGTAGTCAGCGCAAGAATAATTCCGCAGATTGAATCTCCCATGAGCTGTCTGAGCTTTCTATTCATTCGATGTGAAGAGGCAGTTAAAGGAAGGGTTCTCTGGTGGGACAAAATCAGCTCATATATTTGTTGCATCGCAGTTCTTCTCTGGGTTTGATGGTATTGGTATGCGATTCGAATCTTGAACGAAAGTCGAATGCAGGGCTCAACCCTGGGAAGCAGCTCACAAAGACCGAAAGTCCTATCGTTTGTGATTGTTATTGGATCACTCATGTATTTCAGGTGGGTGACTATGTTCTTTCGCCAGGAATAGCCGTTGAAAGAAAAGCGCTTGACGATCTGACTCAGTCTCTGCAGTCGGGACGAGTTTTCAAGCAATCTGAGCAGGTAGTGAAGCCCGTTGTAGTCCCATTATCATGTGGAGTTCCCAACAGGTAATTCTTTTTCCAGATGTTGCGGCATTATGCGAATTCGGTATTACTCATCGAATCCAATCATAAATTCGAGTCCAAAATTGTCAACGGCGGCCCATTCCAGGTAGGCATGTGTCCCAGGTAGTATGAAAGATAACTCATGAGTTTTCAGACGTTGTCCTTAATTTTATTGTAACCTTTTGGGGGCTTTAGTAGATGCAGGTAGTAAAGCATGGGCTACACTACCAGCTCTGAGAAAAATACCCGCAGATGCTCCTGATTTTTTTCTACCCTTTCATGTGCACTCAGGTTTTCGAGGGTGATTGGGTCACCCTCCCAAGATCCACTTTTTATGCCAAATATTACTATTTATTCGGCTAGCTGCCGTCTCTGAATGTCCCCTTATTCGAGAAAAATGCTCCATCGGTTGAGGGGCATTCTTGCAGTACCTTTACCCTGACCTTTACCCTAAACGAGGAGTTCCAATTGTGATTCCGTGAACAATTCGATCTTTCGTCCCATCTCTGACACCCTTTTCTCCCACTTTTCTGTTCCTGTTCCTGGCTCCTGAGCTAGATGTTCTATAATGCAGGGTTGTATGAGGAGTTCCTTATCAATGTGGTGCTTTTCGAGGGATGTGGCCATTTGGGTGTATCTCTGCCAGAGCCGTAATCTGATCGGGACCTTTATTGTGTAGGAGACCACGAAAAATGTGTTATCGAATGTAGCTTTTAAATCCTTTGTTTCGATTTTATAGCTGGTGATCTAATAAAAAAACTCCACCTAGAAAGCTTTTGAGTGCGATGGTTTTGGGCAATTCCTCATTATTACCGTGCAGTTTCGATGGAGAAGAGCATAATTTGAGCTTTAAAAATTTTTTTCGGGACTTTAGTTATGTGTCGATCATTTTGCCATCGTTTTATTGACTACCATACTTTGGTTGAATTCATGTGTTCAAGTAGTTTTCTGCAATATCTACTGATACTCAGTGATCCTTGTTCAGGGTGAGCTTACTCGACATTGTCGTGAAGTACGTGCCTTGTTGTGCTCGTTGTTGAGGGCGACACCACGTCTGAAGATCATTTGGTCACTGTCGCCGATCAACTCGGCAGAATACTTCACTGAACTCAAAGTGAGCCGACTTTCCTTGTTTTTATCCCAGGGCTGTACCATCCGTTTTTAGAGAAATCTGGACGCTCTCTTATTTATTTTTCTTATTTTCGAATTTTCTTCAATTTATTAGGTTGTAGGCGGAGGTGGTGTAGTGGGAAGTGGCGCACTATATCACACGCACGGTCAGGGGTTCGAATCCCGGATCGATGCCCGCCTG